TTCAGGAGGCCGTGCTGGGGGCCGAGGAGCTGCAGCGGCAGCTGGACGAGGCCAAGGCCCGCGTGGGCGAGCGCTCCGAGGTCCTCGGTCGCGCCACCCAGGCGTACACGGCTGCGGTGCATGTGTTGGCTACGTCTGTGGCGCCTCAGCCCTCGCCTGCCGCCGCCGCCGCGCCGCGTCTCAGCATCTCCGCTGTCCTGGCTGGCGAGACGGCTTGGACGCTGGACGACGAGGGCCTCTTCGGCTTGGAGGAGCTGGGCGGCTTCGAGGTCGAGGGGAGCGACCGCCAGGAAGCTCAGAGACGCCGACAGGAGCTGCAGGACAAGTTCGGCGGCATGGCGCGCGAGGCCTCCGGCCAGTTCAAGGCATCCGTCCAGGAGCTCGAGGAGGCGCACCGCGCGCAGCGGGACCGCCTCAGGACGAAGACGCGCAGGGCCGCGGAGGCCACCGAGGACGGGGGCGCTGCTGCCGAGCGGGCACCTGCAGCAACGGCTGCAGCGCGGGAGACGGCCACTGAGCGTCCCCTTGCGGCGGCGCGGGCGCCCCCGCCAGCCGCCGCCGCGACGCCCCAGGCGCCCGCGTCGGCAGCGCAGTCGGCCCCCAGCGCGGCCTCCACGCCCACTCCTGCCCCTGGCGTCAAGGAGCAGGGCCGAGCTGGCCTGGCAGCAGCGGGGAAGGCCGCGGGCGGGCCACCAGGCCAGGCAGGCACTCCCGCGGCGCAAGGGCCTCGGGCGCGGCGGCGGCGCCTCTGCCTAAGTGGCGGGCGCCTCAGGCGCGCCGCGCGCAGCGAGGCTTGCGTCGTCGGGCGACGGTGCCTGCCATGCTCCCCGCGAAGCATGCGGCGGACATGATCAGGGATCTGGAGTACTTGGACGACGGCCGCGGCTCCAACCACATGAACTACCACTGGCTGGACGGCTACACAGGGGAGTTCGAGGCCAGCTGCAACGACGACTCCAATTACGGCAACATGTCGGCTTTGGGCTACTCAGGGGAGTGCTACGACGTCGACTGGCCATCTACCACGAGATCGCCCCCCCTCGGCCCCCCTCGCCTGCAGTCAATGCGAGGGGGGCAACGAAAAGAGCCAGGGCCATGTGCGAGCTCTTCTGCCTCGACGACCTGCTCGTCGGCATCTACTTGCGCAGACCTTGCCCACCTTCTCATCCTCGCAGTGCGCGGCCCTCTTCGGAGGTTGAGCCGCCTCGGGGTTCCCGCAGCGCGCGGCCCTCTTTGGGGTATGAGCCGCCTCGGGTCGGCCTCCCGAAGGGAGAGAGTGGGCTGGGGGCGTCTGCTGCTGGGCGCTGCGCTGGGCCCTCGGCTCCCCTGGGTGACGGTGTGCCCCTCCCTGCAGGAGGCGTGGCCCTGTCGGTCGGTGCGCCCCCCTGCGTGAGGTGCGGGCCCGGCTGCCCAGAGGTGGCCAAGGCTGCGGTGACGGCGTGTCCCTCCCAGCGGGAGGCGTGCGCCCGTCGGTCGGCGAGTCCCTCTGCGTGAGGCGTGGGCCCGGCTGCTCAGCAGCGTCGGGCGCTGAGCCGAGGCAGTCGGTATCTCTGCGGCCGCGCAGTTACAGGGGCGATGGCGACACCCTGGCCGTCGCGACGGTGAACGCCACGTGCTGGGGCTCCTGCCTGGAACAGCTGGAACAAGACAACGTCAACGACGAGGTCCAGGCCATCCTCATCAAGGAGCATCGCCTGTGCGACGACCTACGGCTGGCAGCAGCAGTTCGAGCAGCCGGGCGAGCGGGCTGGGTGGCCGACCTCGCCCCCGCGACTGCGATGGACAACGGCGGAGTTTCCTCGAGAGTTGGGATCTTGGCGCGCCCGTGGGTGCGCATGAAGCGCGTCGAGTTCAGCGATGACCGCATTTCGATTCGATGTTCTGCCCGCTTGGGTTTTTGGATGACATCGTTGGGTCCCGCTGCGGGCACCTAACTGATCTCGGCGTATTGCCACACCAACCAGGACCCGAGCGACTTCAACTTGGACCTGCTTACCAATCTGGGCTTAGTCGTCAAGGCCATGTACCGCCCCTTTGTCGTGGGGGCCGACTGGGACATGCTGCCCGAGGTCGTGGGCGAGGCCCACTTGCTCCCCGCGCTTGGTGCGCGCCTGGCTTGTCCGGGGAGGCCACGCGCATCGCGGCGACATCTGCGAGGGAACTGGACTACTTCTGCGCGGGCGCGGACGCGCCCATCAAGGGCGCCAGCCGTTGCGACCTCTTCGACGTGCGGACGCGCCGTGCGGTCCTGCTGCAGCTGGCTCTGCCGAAGCCAGGCGGCCCGGCGACGCGTGTGCATAAGGCTTGAGCTTTCCCAGCCCAGGCCTTGATCGGGCCTCGGCTTCCAGGCCCTGACTTGACCGACGCCCACGGCGACCTGGCCACGGTGGCCGCCGCAGCAGGCTTGGAGGCAGCTTGCGGCAGGGTCCTGGACACATACGAGGACGAGTTGCTGCGGCACTTCGACTTGGAAGGCACCCGCGAGGCAAGCAGGTTCTGT